TATATACAACATATATATATGTAATACATTCATATATACATATATGTTCATATGCATGTCTGTACATACAGCTGTTTTTTTTTTTCTTTTTTTTGTTAATCGTGAAACGCAACTTAGAAAAGGAAACCCAATTCGTAATCGTGATGATATTTTTTCTCGGTGAAGTGGAGCTCTGCTTTACTAGGCCAGCCCGAGTCTCCGCAGTAGCTGCGCACGTGCAGTGTGATAGAGTGGCTTACCCCGTTAAGGGGCATAAGGACGGGGTGGAGACTCACTCAAAAATAATTAAAACGTTCTTGGTGTCCAAAGAGAGAACAAAAAAAAATGCTAACATGTGCGCGTACCTACACAGGGGCGTGCACACGGAAAAGGAAAGAAATCAAATAGCGCAAAATGGAAGCGGCTGGATAAAAGCCTTGCAGACAAGGATAACAAAACGGAACAAAACAATTCTAACAAAAACGCACCCCTTTGGGGGGAAAAAAACCACGTCCCAAGCGGAACATTTCCAATTGTTCAGTGTAGACGTCCCAGTTCAATTTTGCAAATCTTTCTAAATCGCTCTTTTAGAGGGCTCTGTGGGGAGAGATGCTTATTACGGGGGCATAAAATGCGCATATGTGTGTTGTACATGCGCATGCAGTTACATGGAGGTGGCCCCACCCCCACCCCAAGGCGATCAGTTCAACTCGCCATGCGGAGAGACCTGGCCAAGGGCGGAAATGGGAGAGTAAGCATTACCCAGTTCAGTGTCACTTGGGTGGGTAAACCCCATGGAGTTGCTCCCATTAAACATATCGTTTTGATCTTGTGGAGAAAGCATGGCAGTGTTAAAGTTGGAAGGGTAAGCCGTCTGACTGGTGACATGTTGCGTTTTGTACAGCTGGTTGAGGGACGTACTAGTGTGTTGTGTACCATTTGGGTAATGATAAGCCGATTGTGCAGTTAGCGGGTTATCTTCCCTCAAGTGTGTACTGGGGTAAACATTCCCAGAAGGAGAAACAAACTTGGCTCTCATGTGCATATCCTGATTTGTGTTCACCTTATTGTGATATTTGTCATTATGTAGTAAGAGTTCGACAGATGGTTGGTTGGTGCCTTTGTTAATTTTTGTAGCGTTGTGTTTATTGTTCCAGTTGAACGCGAAGCAATTCTTCGAGCTGCTCTTAGTGGATGCCGTGTCGACATTGTCTTCCTGGTAGTACAGGGGTAGAAGAAATGGGTTGTTCATGGCGTCCTTAGGAATAGGGTGTTCAATAATTCGTTGTACATGCACAGGGACAGGAATTTCTTTATATCTGGCTTCAATTTTAGGGCATAGAAATTCTTGGACGATTTGAAGTTCAACCGGGACAGGCACATTCCTATCGACGAGCTTTTCAACAGGGAAGGTCCTATAATGTGCCATTGGAACTTCCACAGGTTTTGGTATATGTCTATACTGAGGGGAGACAATGTTTCTGTATATATGCTGAACGTGCGGAACTTCTACAATTTTTTCGACGTGAAAAGGTCGGTCCACTATCTGTGTGTATGGAATGTCTTTCTTAACCACTTCAGGAATATATTCTGGAATTTCCTGCACCTTTTCAATATTTATATTTTTTAATTCAATTTGAGGAATTTCGACAATTTTCTCTTGGATCACTTTTTTAGGTACTGGAATGATCCTTTCTTGCACCATGATTTTTGGCACTTGAATTATTTTCTCCTGATACACATACTGAGGCACTTCCACTATTTTGTCCACCACTTTAATTTGTGGAACTTCTACTATCTTTTCCTGGAAAATTGTTTTGGGGCACTTTTTGATTCTCTCATGAATCACTGGCTTGGGCACATGAATTAATTTTTCTTGAAGAATGACATGTGGGACTTCTACAAGTTTTTCTATATACTGCACTTGTGGCACTTCGATTATTTTTTCTTCAATTTCTGGCTTCATAATTTCGACCACTTTTTCTTGGACCAGTGGTTTGAGTATTCTGGCATTCTGGGGGGGCGCGTCCCCGCTGCTTATCATCGCGCTGCTATTTAGCATTCTTGTTCCACCCATCGAGCCCCCTTCCCTTCTCTCCGAGTTGTCCCCGTTGGCGAAGAGGTTACGCGCCACTTGGTAGTACTGTTCTTTCGAGTCCCTCTGCATGGTCTGCTTTTCCCCCTGCTGGTCGCACAGGTTCTGCGCGTAGCCCCTGCACTTGGACTCGCCGCAGTTGTTCAGCATGTTGCGTTGGGCGGTAGGGACTGGGGTGTGCAGGATGCCAACGGACTAAATAGGACGAGAAGATGCTCGCCTAGGGGGGGCAATATAAGTGTAGTCAGGGGGGAGTCGGCAGGAAGCCGGTAAAAAATGGGTAGACAACAACAATGAGTAGTCAGTGAACAATTGGTAGAAAACTGAGCTAGCGAAAACAGAATGAAGGACAAACACCGTGCAGGCAAAATGCGCAGACGGTGTAGAGTAACAATGGGGGAAATTTAAATAATCACTCTATGGGGCACGAATGGGTCCACATAGACATTGAATTTGTGGCATACTTACAAATAGGTGTAGACATTATATACATATATATATATGTACTTTTTTTGTTTTTTTTTTTTTTTTTTACGGCTTCGAAAGTGAATATACTTGTGCGCACGCGAAGTGTGTGTATACACCTACCCGCACAGGGAAAAAACAATTTGGACAATTGAGCGGATGTACTTCGCGGAATTTTGCTTTTTGTATTTCTGTTCACTTGTTAACATGTGCACACCTGGGGTGTATGCGCGCGGGGGGGAATTCCGTTTTGAGGAAAAAAAAAAAAAAAAAAAAAAAAAAAAAAAAAAATGGCAACAAGATAAAATTACAAAGTGACATGACAACATGACACATGCGGCCCAAACAAGAAAACAACAAAACAATTTGTAGAATCCTGTGTACAAATGGGGTGCACCGGTGTCGGCGTGGATCACAAAAAAAAAAGGCAGTTTAATTTGATATTTAGTTACCGTTCGCATTGAATTTTTTGCAAAGTTGACTTTATTTTTTTTGCCATTTTTTTCCTCCCATTTTGAAACATTTTCTGCCGCAGGCGTTCGGCATTCCCCACACCCATAAGTAGAATTTTCCAAGCGGAATAGACACTCCACATGTAGACAGGAAAAAAAAAAAAAAAAAAAACAAGCGTTGGGGTAGGAATAAAGTACCTATGTCAACTGGCACTGGACATAAGATGTACGCGGAGCATGGGTCTACCTATATCAAGTGGTTCTGTTTTTTTTTTTTTTTTTCCTTTGCGTTAGAAGTATTACTCGTAGGGTGTTGCACAGGTATTTTTTCCCCCTTTTCAGAGGCAGTTCACAGCATTACTGTCCACTTCTTCCTTAGCATGTGTAAGCCTGTTCCTACGAACGGGTTATCCCCACCCTTATGCACATCCCACTGAGGAATGGCAAAAGCGTTGGCATTGTCCCACATGGCTAAGTACTCATCTTGGGCGCCCCCCATTCGTCACCCCAAATCTGCTATTCTCATGGTAAGGCAGATATTGTTCCCCCCTTACATAGAAACACACTAAATGAACACTTCTTTTCCTCAAATGAGTTTATTTTTGGTAATCGTACATTTTGGTTCTACTCCGTTTGGGGGTATATTTAATGTGAAACTTTCTTTCTTGCCCACTCTTTGGCACTTTCCTACTTTCCCATTTTAGCCATATGCTGACCATGCATTTCGGTGCAGACGCTTGAGGGCCGCAATTTGAACCCTCCCTTTTGCGTTCGATAAAGAAAAGAAAAAAAAGGTTCAGCAAGTACAACAGGGAAAACAGCTTCCCTAAGACGAATTCGCTGTTGGAGCTGAAATGGGAGAGGTAGCATGTAGTAGTTTTTTTTTTTTGTGGGGTGAGAGGAGGAAGGAGATGCAGAAAAGGGGTATCCATGGTGTACCCTTTTAGGAACAAATCACATCAGGAGGGGTAAGCCAATTGTACGCTCCTCGAAATTGGCCAAAATGTGCCCCTTGAAGGGGGTGGGAATGGTTAAATAAGATTATCTACTCACTACGACAAAAAGGAGCAGAGTTCCTGCTGCGCTACGCATCTCCTCTGCTGCTATTCTCAGTGTGATTCCACCCCGTTGGGGACTCACTATTAAAAGGAAAGACAGATTACCTTGTGTGCTTCCTAGTCGGAACAGAATTAGGAACTTTTGGAATTCACAAAATAGCAGCAAAAAGCGGAGTACAAAAAAAAAAAAAAAAAAAAAAATTAGAAATAGCGATTACCCCATAGTGCAAGTAATTCATTTCCTAACCAAATAAATTGCGGTGAAGTGCCAAAGGGGGAAACATCAATTTCTACATATGCTGGTCCAGTCCTTTCTTCAATGTAGAATTAATCTTTTGTGTACCGTATGGGTGGGGGCATGCTGCTTCGGTCGGGAATACGTTCCACTTGTGGGTTACAATGTGCAGCAACGGAATTGGCTAAGAGGTGCTGTCTGCCATGCAAGAAAGGGAAATTATGTAGAACAGGCACTGCACACATGGGAACAAAGACTGTGCCATCTGTCCGGGGATGGATGGACTAAAGAGGGACAGAAATGTGCGTCCCTACAACTGACGCTGCAGAGAGGTGTACACTGCCTGCGCGTGGGAATCCAATGTTAACTTGTTTTGTATTGCTCTTTTCATTTCATTTTTTTTTTTTTTTTTTTTCATTTGCTTGTTTCATTTCTCATTGTTGTTTTTATTTAATATTTTTTTATTTTTCTACCCCCAAGAAGGGAGTCAACAGAATAGACCTAAGTGTTACTTTGTCCCATGTTTTAGAACAAAGGGAAAATTAACGAAGCTCACAAAAAAAAAAATAAAAAAAACACACACACAAACAGAAACACTTTTGCATAAGCATGTACATACGCATAGACACACACAACAACTGAAGCTAAAACATCTTTGCTGCCCGCCCAATCGCCAAAATAAAGTACCACCGTTTCCAGACTCCCCCTTGAGGAAGATGTTTAACGCGTGCAAGGGTAACAGCAACTGCTGTCGGGAGGAAAGCGAGGACACGGAAAAGGTTGTGCACGAACGAAGGCACGACGTGTTAGATCAACACATGGGGAAGGAAAATGGGGACTTTAAGAAGATCATCGAGGGGGAGCCCGACAAGGCCAAAGCCGTCGAAATTAGCCAGCGCACGGAGAGGGAATATGTAAGGTTCTGGAGGCTCTTGCGCGTTTGTGCTCCAGCATGTGGAATTTTGTGCCCCCCGTTGTGTCATTTCGCGGTATGTTTGTGGGCCTTTTTTTATGCGCCTTTTTCTGCACCCCTCCCCCTTTTTTCCTCCTGCAGGTTGCTATAACTGCGTACCAGCCAGTCGACATCGTGACGAGGACAGTCGAGGTGCCCTTCGTGCGCACCATAGAAACGATGGTGCCAAAAATAACCTACGAGAGCAAGATTAGGGAGGTCCCCAAGTATTACTCCAAAATTGTGGAAAAGGTGCGTTTTTTTTTTCCCTCGGTTGTTGTGTGCCTGGTTTGGCAGCGCGGGTGGCTAGTCCGTCATTCTACGCAGTGTCTTCGTCGCTTCGCCCCATTACCGCTTCTCCTTCTCCTCAGGTTGTGGAAGTCCCAGAGGTCAAATTCGTGGACAAAATCGTAGACGTGCCGCGCATCCAGTACTGCTTCAAGTATGTCCCCAAAGTGGAGGTAAAGGAAAACATAATTCAAAGGCCAGTCTTCCAAAAGAAGATCGTAGAGAAAATTGTAGAAGTCCCAAAGGTCAAGGAGATGCAGAGATTCCAGGAGGTCGAAACGGTGGAATACGTCATCAAGTAAGGAAAGGCGGATAAGACAGGGCAGTATTATGTCCTTCTCTTTACATTGCCTTTTTTCCCTACCCTTTTTTCCCCCTTTTTTTATTACTCCCTGAAGTGGTGCACCAATTGGAGTGCTCATCTGCACGCTGCATTTGCCGTGTTCAGTCATGCCGTCTGCCCAATTTTTGCCAACTGCACCCCTATACTCTGCTCAGGTATGTACCGAAGGGATTCACCGAGGGAAGAAAAACATCACACGACGAGAGTGAGGACGAGAAAGAAAAGAAAGAAGAAGACCCAGATGAAGAAAGGGACATAGGAGAAGGCCACGAAGACAACGAAGAGCAGGAGGAAGATGCTAACAATTCCAGATTTTACGAACCGAAAAATTATTCTGAAGGAGCCAAACTGGTTAGGAATGCACAGATGGAGATGAACCAGTCCCAGTTATGGGGGCAGACAATATCTACCAGTAAGGATAAGATGTTTCCATACGTTTTTAGCAGACCCATGCAAGGAGAGGCGGAGGCACATGCAGGGATGGGGACTCCTTGGGGAAGTGCTGTAGTTGGGGGTGAACCGTATGGTGAAGCATACGAAGGAGCAGCAGTCCATCCCATGTTTGGATTGCGAAACGAGCTATCCCTAATGCAGCTGAAGGAAAAGAATGCTTCGATGTTACCAACGCCACGTATAGAACAAGTGTTTAAGCCAAAAATTGTGAAAAACGTAGAAGTGCAGAAGCATGTACCCATTTCGGTGGACGTGCCAGTTCCTTATATGGTCCCCAAGCCTGTCGTTGTTAATGTAGAAGTTCCTGTCTTGAAATTCAGAGATACATTTGTGCCTGTACCGGTCAGGCGAAAAATCATCCCCAAAATTAAGTGGATCTCGGATGTTTATCAGGTTGACTGCATCAAGGAGAAGCCGTACTTGAAGATCCAAGACGTCATAAGACCAATTCCTTGTGATGTACAAATTAAGTACAGGAAGTATATGGAAAAGGCTTGTGCTGTGAACCCTAATGAGTTACCACAGGACGATGTGCACGCCATGTGGATGCGCGTGAATGCTCATCTCGCTGAGCAGAAGAAAAGGGAGTATGGTGACCTGTACCCGTACTATCGAGGTGAGCGCGAGTCGAAGCGAGTAGCTATCAGCAATTCACTCCCGTCTTGTAGTGCTTCTACTACCGGTGTACCTTTTTTTTCACCACCACCACCTTTTATGTGTTCACCCCATTCCCACACCTACTCCACACGCAGCTGAAGGAGAAGGCGAAAACGACAGCAGCAGCTCTGGAAAAGATGAGCAAGACGGAAGTGAAGGCACAGAATCTGCGGAAGAGGGAATGATACATGAAGGACAAATCGGACAAGGCGCTTTGGAAGGGGAAGGGGATGTCTCGGGTAGGGCGAGCAAGAAGGAGGATGTGGGAGAAGACAAGGAAGAGCATGCCGAGGGGGAAGAGACCATGGAAAGTGAAAAAAGCGAGGTGAAGGAACGAAGCGGGGTGATGGAGCAAAGCGAGTCGGGTATCTCAAATGGGGAAATCATGCAAACTGGTGAGGACGCGCAATACGGATCAATCATAGAAGTGCTACGGAGAGAACACGGCGAAAATGACGAAACCAAAGCGGAGGCATGGAGACAAGTCGAAGGAATAGAAAAGGTAAACGCAGAGCAAAATATCTTTTACGCCTATGAAGGGCCGGAGCAAATGCAAAAACAGGGAAGAGGTTACAATGTGTGTTGTAAAAATTCAAATGATCGTGTTAGTGGCACATCAGCAAATGAGGAAAGATACAATTTCGAATGCGTAGATGAATTCATGAAGGAGATGAAGAAACAAGATCATTTGGAGGAAGAAGCTGTGGCTTCTCTGTACCCATCACACCCTCTAGCAATGACGTATTTGCAAAACAAGTGGATTCAGACAGACACCCTGAGGACACATGAACTTTACCATGACGATTTCGTCAGGGCAAGCATTAACGCCAATTTTAATCTACAAAATAGGAATCCAGTGATATCAGAGGTTATGAAAAATCAGGATTTTTTAAAAACTGCCAATCCTCTCATTTCTCCTTTTTTCCCGCGGAATATACAGAACATAGAAAATACCTACAACAGAGTTATAGTGCAGAACATCCAGGAGGAGAATATGCGATGCCAGGGGGGTGCTAATAAGTATGAGCCAAAGGTGCATGCCATCCCGGGGGACATGGAGGTGAGGATGTATGACGAAGGGGCCGCTGGACACACGTGCGATTCGGGCGGGAAATGCTGCAGCTACTTTTGCAAACACTGACTTGGCGCTCGGTAAGCTTGGGCAACCAACAGCGAGGTCATCATCGAAATTGTCTTTGTTTCCAGCCACGGGGCTCACCCCCTTTTGCGGTAAGGCCTATTTGGTACTAACCGTTCAGGAGGTAAGAAGGAAGGTGGTTCTCTTACTTCCGCTAAGCGCCTTTGTATTTATTTTTCTTTTTATTTTTGGCTCTTTAGCCTCCTGTTTTTTTATTCCTTGCCCACACTACATTGTGAGCTGTTATGCAACTTCAGGAGGAGATCCCCAGAGGGGCATTTCACTGATTGAAGAGGTGGATCCACTCGCATGTCCTAGTATACATTCGCATCTGGGTGTGCGTATGAACATATGGGGGGGTTGCTTACTCCTTCCGCCACATGACCACGTGTGTTCGTTTGTTTCATCATTAACACCCTACGTATGTGCGGTTATTCCGCTTTTTATTTTATGCTTTCATGTTTTTTACGTTTTTATGTTTTTACGTTTTTCTCCAGGCGGGAGCGCCTGTACATATATTTTAAAATCCTGATGAGGAAAGGCTCTCCAGAGAGCGGTCAATGATCAGCAGCTTAAATTGTCTGTACTTGTGAGGCAGTACATCACCCCGTGTTAGCACATCGGGCACAGACCCTCCTTTTTTTTTTTTTTTTTTTACATTATCTCCTTGGTGCTTTGCAACAATTTTGCGGCGTCTTCTCTGCCACTTCCCTTCTTGCCCAATTTGACATCCCCATAACAAAAACATCGAGCAGTGTTATGCTGCTGAAGTGGTTAATAATATCAGCTAAAGAATGACCATTTTTTGTTTTTTCTTTTTTCTCATTGTATGTGCGTCGAAGTGGGTATTGGGGATTTTTTTTTTATTCATACGCTGTCCAGTGTACTTACACCCCCCATGAGGGTAACTTTTAATGGGTTTCTTTGCTTGAATTCTCCCCTTGGGGTAGAGGGATGGAATACTCTCATCTACATCGCACAACAGTGTTTGTATATAAATGCCCACACGTGGGTGGACGTTGTAGTAGGTCACACAACGAAGAGCGTCGTTTTTTATATCTGTCCATTGAGTTCCCTCTCCCCACTTTCAAGTGTGCACCTTCTTTAGAATAAGGAAATATATTTGTCCGCTTTCATAACTACACAATTTTAAAATGTTTCCTGTCAAGTCTTCTGTCTTCCTACTTCTCCTCTTCCTCTGTGTCGAATGGGCTCACGCGAACATTGAGTTGATACTATCCGGTGTGCATAAACAGGGGGGAGAAAAAAAATGAAAATAAAAAAAATGGCGACTTCACGCTGAGAATGAAAACGATACTGCTTCAGTTTCACGTTGTCATGCTAGAAGAATGAGATTTTTCAGGCGCGGTTGTGAATGTAGCCACATTGTGATCCCGCCACTTCCCCATTAGGGGCACCGTTCTTATTGCCCCCCCCTTTTTTTTTTTTTTTTTTTTTAATCTGTTTAGATCTTGGTACGGACAAATGCAACTCCGAAAAGGTGAAAGCTCTGGATGATAAGTTTTATGGGGCAGATTGTGGGGGCGAAAATCTGCTGCCCTCCGTTGAGTGGTTTCAAAGGAACAGCGAAACCAAGTCCTACGCGGTGACGGTTACTAGTATGATTAACTCCAGGGTAGTGACGCACTTCTTGGCATGGAACATACCCTCACACGTTAACTTAATAAATCACACCACGAGCTTCGACGAACTGGAGGCAGCCGTTGGGTTCAATTCATTTGGCGAGACCAAGTACACGGGGCCGTGTGCCTCGGCCATGGAAGAAGAGAGTAACTGTTTGTTGTTTACTCTGTACGCGCTAAGTAAGTTCGCACAGTTTGCATCTTTGTGATGTGAGACATGTATAGCGTGGTTTGCGAGGCATTCGTTTTGGATTGCTCTGCATCGTTTTGTGGTATGCTCCATATGTCCACATCACACTTTTCACCCCCATCGCAGACAAGGAGCACATAGAACTGTCACAAGATGCAGACTACTTCGAGCTGATGGCCTACCTCAAAAGTATGAGCCGAGACGAGAAGGGGCTGCTCCACAGGCTATCCCTATACGCCCTGACAATCCCGAAGCGCAGAATCTCAAGTTAAATCGTAGCGGGTCCTTCGTCGCTTCCATTTCGTTTAAGCCCCTTTCAAGTGGCGATAACATATGCGCATAATTACACACAGCATACTCCTAAGCTTTGCCACTTTAGAAGCGTGAAAGGAGCTGCAGATCGTTTTGTTTTTTCTACGTGGAGTTCCGTAAAAGGGCAAAGATAACCCGTTAGCGATATTTTGAACAGGAAATCCCCAGTAGGGGTGTACTCCCTATGCATGTACATGTGTTCTCCTCTGTTTGCACTTTATTTGTAACTTTATTTGCAGTGATGAACGATGTTTTTCCCTGTTTGGAAGACAGGCATATAAGTAACCAAAAAATACGCAAAAAACAAAAAAAAAAAAATGTTTTTGATTGGCGGCAAAATGTGGTTAATTTAAACAGTGTGATATGCCCCCGCGCGGTCGCTTGCGGCCAATTATGCTGCACCAAATGGCCATCAACCTGAGAGTTTCTCAGCACAGGAGCTAAAAGCGCTCTCCATAAAGTCACAGATATTTTTAAAAAACACATCGACTGTCTTGGTCAACTCCTCCACCTCACGAACAACTTTCACATCCAAATTGGTGGTCAGGAAATGAGCCAAATTTACACTCTCCGTTTTTTTTTGTAAAATGTCTAAGTTTTTTTCTAGCTGTCCTTGGTGGTACTCGAACAGATATTTTTTATTTTCGTCATCCCAAGTGGCAAAGTAAGCGAAGGCATAGGACCACTTGAGGATTTTTCTGCATCTAATGGTTTGTATGATGGAGTTTTGAAAATGATATATACGATGTGTTGGCTGGATGTTGTTCGATGCACAAAACTGGGAAAGGAAAAGAAGCTGCGTGTTGATGGAAAACTCTTCTCCATACTGGTGGGCGTCGAATCTGGTTTTGAAGTGGTTGAATTTGTGAAGCGCCTCGTGCGCGCTTTTGCGGTTCTGTGGTGTGAGGATGGGCGTCTCGTTGGGGGTATCATTTTTTGAGCCACCTTGTGTGGTATCCGGTTCCACATTTAATGGTCCCCTCTGCGTGACGTACTGATTGCACTGGTAGAAGCCCCCCTTGTGGTGCGCCCAGGGCTGAAGGCATAGCCAACAGAAGCTGAACCCACAGATGCACTTGACGTTCATGCAGCCGGACGCTTTCTCAATCGACTTGGCACAGTTGGTGCACTGCTTCGTGTGGGAGTGAATCCACTTAACATTATGTTCACCCTTTGTGAGCAGATCATTCCACTGTTTAATGATAGCGCAGGAAACGGGCCTGTGAAATTCCTCCTTGCAGTTGAAGCAAAAGTTGTATCCACATCTGCAAATGACTCCATTATCAGGTAGCATCACAGATTCGATAACGTAGGGGCACTTATCATATGGACATTTTTTTAAACTAGGGTTATTTTTTATGAATATTTTTACCAAGATATTTTGGTATTGTGCAAAGAGGTCATTGTTTGTGTCGGAGATATTTTTCCAGTCTTCCCTCATGATGAGTTCTTTGCATTCTGGTTCCATGCACTTTTTATTAATTATATCTTCGTCAAAGTCGTTGTTAATGGCTGTTTGGAGGTATCCTTTCCAGCACTCCTTCGAGTACCGATGTCCGCATTTGAGCGCGTAGGTGTCTTTTAAGTCATACTCGTTAAGTAGGATTGGGCATGTATATTTGGTTCCTGTCTCCGTCTGAGTCATTTGTTTAGAGGGGAATTCTTGCCTTGATTTACCCATGTCAGTGGTGGGTGCTACTAACAGAGGAGCCATATCACCACTAGCACAATCTGCACATAGATCTTCCTCGTTAAGGTGAGACATGTATGCCTTCGCTAGCACTTCCTTTGGGTTCCTAAACCATGCCTCGATAAAATCATTCGAATTAAAATTGTATGACTTTAAAAAACTGTATGCATAATCATAGCGGAGGTTCGTGAGGCTAACAACGTCCGTGACAATTTCTTGCATTTTTTCTTCGACCTGTTTTAAGGTATATATCTCATAAATATTCGTGTCCCTATATTTTACCATCCTTCTTTGGAAATACTGTAAATACATTTTCATTCCTTCCTCGTGGGATTCATCTGTTTCCTTTTTTTCACTCAAGTCGCAGTTGGCACTTCCGTTGTGAATTGTCGGGAGGTCTTTCACAACATTCTTTACGACTTTCTTTACTACCTTCATTTTTTTGTCCTTGTCAAGTTGTATGGTAATGTCTATGGCTCGGTTGCCGGGGTCGTCTTCCTTCGGGATATTCATTTTTGGGGTGTAAAGGAACAGCATGCGGAGAATGGAGAGTGGCTAAGTGGGGAGCTGTTTTTTTTTTTTTTTTTTTTTTCTCCCCTTTTTTAGGAGATACACAAGAGGTGCATATTTATTCTATTTGACCATGTTATATGTACACGTCGCAATTTTTTTTTTATAATTTTGTTCCTCTATATTTTGGCTAGCCATTGGTGTAGCGGCCAGGTGTATACATCTGGTTAGCGCCCTGTAGCGAGCAGCCCTGTGGTCTTTTAAAAGTGACTTGCGCTGCACATGCGTTACACACACAGATTATACATCAGCAGCAGCGCGTGTAAACGAGTGGGGGTGAAATGATCATTCCTTTTGAGGTGTCACCGCTATACAGTTCTTTCGTCAGACGGAGCGGTATGATTTCCTCACTCTGCACTGTTTCGTCCTCAGGGTGCAGTGCCCCTTGAAGCGGAACCATCGGGAAGGACCTAGGCCTTTGCGAAAAAGTAATCGTCGTAGTAGCCGTCGTAGTGGTGCAGTTGTGGTAGTAAAAGTGGCAGTAGTAGGTGCGGATCAGAATAAGCAAGAAGGGAAACAAAAGAATAGGTGAACCGAGAGAAGGCAAAGGCCTCTGATAATGTAGCACACGCAGGGTAATTACGGACCGTTGGTGCGCCAAATTTGGCACCGCCAAGGGGAATGCCCATTGGAATTTTTTCCTTATTTGACCCGACTTTTCCGCTTATGTATCGTCTGCACTTTGGAGTGCTTCCGGGGGAGGGAAATGTGCTAAGGGTGAGGGCAATGGGAGGCCAATATGGTGGGCCAAATGATAGGCGCAATATGATGGACAAAAGATGACACCCCCACAGGGAAGGAAAAAGAGAAAGCCACACAATTTTTTTTGAAACGACCCTTGAATTTCCTAATTTTTTTTTTTTTAATTAAAACTGAAAGCAAATTGTACATAGTGGTGGCCTAACTGTTTTTCCATTTTTACCATAAAAACAAAGAAGGAAAAAACAAAGAGTTTTTATGTGAGCTGTACTTTTTGGCTGTTCCTTTTCTGCTTTTTCAAAACGACCCAGAGGGGTTATCCTTCTCGCATACGCAACACCACCGTGTACACATTACTGTACTATACTATACTCTTAGGAAGCTACATTCGTCGAGAGGCTCGAGTGACGAACTGGGCATCCTCGGAATGAACATCGGTCACCTCCAATATAGGGGAACGAGCAAAGTCACGCACGAGGCGATTTTCCGCCTGTACAAGTAGCTCAACAGGCTGGCACGAAAGGGTTACCTCTGACCCGCATAATTCCCCTCATTAATTACGTCTCTTTGTAACTCTGCGTCCGCTACGCAAGTAACTACACACCGTACCGCTTCCTTATTTCACTGCTCCCTTCCTAACGATGATGCAAAGGGCGAAGAGTCTCCTCAGGCGAGTGCAGCCCATGAGCAGCCACACCTTTACTCGCTACATCAGTACTAGTAGCGTGAAACTTAAAATAGTAAAATGTAAACTGTTTGACATTGGAGAGGGAATTTCTGAGGTGGAAATAACTCAGTGGAATAAAAAGGAAGGAGAAAGTGTGAGCGAAATGGAGACTCTTCTAACTGTTCAGAGTGACAAAGCAGCGGTTGATATAACGAGCAAGTACAGTGGAGTGCTCGTGAAAAGGTATGCTGAGGAGAGGGACATAATTAAAATTGGGTCGTACTTTTGCGAAATTGACACAGAGGATAACATTGTGGAAGAGGAGGGAAATGGTGAAGAGATGGAAGACCATCACGCGGACGGGAAGGCAGATGTAGATGAGGCACATTCATCATCCCAAGTACAGCACAAAGGTAGTAAGGTGTCGACTGTGAAAGCATCCCCAGGGGTTAAGAAGAAGGCCCAAGAATACAAACTGGACGTGGACGAAATTGGAAGTTACTTTTCTAAAGACGCCATAAGGATGGAAGATGTGGAGGAGTATCATCAGAAGGTGAAAAGCGGAGAAATATCAAGTGCAGGAAGTAACCTCAATGGAGATGTCCTGGAGAAAGTTGCACTGCAAGGAATCAAACTAGCTATGTGTAAAAGTATGAACGATTCTCTGAGTATCCCCCTGTTTCACTTAAACGAAAAATACAATGTACATAATTTGATCGCCGCAAGAAGTGAAATAAAGAATAGCGTCCTAGAGAAGGACAACGTGAACGTCACATTAACAAGTATACTGATCAAACTTATTTCAAATGTGTTGAAAGATTTCCCATTGTTAAACTCGAAATTTGATTCAAGAACAAATACATACACTACTTATAAGAGCCATAATGTGTGTGTCGCCATGGACACCCCAAATGGTTTACTCGTGCCAAATATAAAAAATGTGGAATCGAAAAATATGGTTGAAATTCAAAAGGATCTGACTTCCCTACGTGATAAAGCCATGCAGATGAAGCTGAGCAAAAGTGACATCACTGGGGGTACTATCACCATAAGCAATTTTGGAGTCATAGGGGGCACCTTTGCCACTCCAATTGTGTTTGATAACCAGGCGTGTATTATCGGATTGTCCAAAATTCAGAAGGAGTTGTTTTTAAAAAATGAGAAGAAGGAGCTAACCGACTTATCCGACATCCTTGTTGCGGACACGATGAACTTGACTTATGGTGCAGACCACAGGTTCGTCGACGGGGCTACGCTGGCTCGCTTTTCGAAGCAGCTGAAGGAGGTCATGGATGGCGTCACTTCACTGGACCCGTACGCGGTGTAGGGGCACAGCCTAACGAATCAGCGGTGTGCGCAGCGGTGTGCACAGGGGGTTTAGTCGGAGGAGCGTCACGCGGTGCGCCCACCATTGAGGACTCCCCCGTTGAAACCCCTTCCCCCCTCGGGGGCGCTTCCACATACCGTGTGCACGTTACTATGCAGCACTACTTCCCTATGACCGACGGGGCGCCCGCATTCCCCGCCTCAGTTCACACGAATCGTGTGCCGTGGTCTTCACCCCGTGGTGGACAACACCTCTCTTTCACTCGTTTTGTCCCCCCACGGGGGGCCTCCATTCGGCGGCGCTCTAACCGCGTCCACGTTTTTTCCATAACTTTGTGCGAGGATAGGTGTCCAAATTTGTAAACACAAAATTTTCAAAATAAAATAGGGAAAAACAAAGTGCATAAAACAGGGGGGAAAAAAGGGCTAACTTTACACAGTTGCATAATAGGTGTGACGTGGTAGGGGATAGGCCTGCCCCCTTCTCCTAAGCGCAAAATAAGTCGAAGAAGCGGTTCCCCATTTTGAAATGGCTAGGATGAACGGTATAATTTTTTACTAACGACTTGAAATTATTCACGTAGGCGTCCGTTTTGATGAGCTGCACAGCATCTTTCACGAGCACATTGTTGTTCGGGGCTATAATCATAAAGGACGGCAGATTTTTAATATTGAATTTTTTGCAAATGTACAGATAATTATCAAAAGGCAAGCTGTAAAAATCGGTGCCTTTTAGGAAATCTAAATAATCATTATATGTCTTGTCAAAAGGGATGTAAATAATTTCGATACATGGAAAATTTTTTTTAAAAAACTTTATTCTTTGTATAAAAGTTACACAATATCTGCACCAGGATGCTCCAAAAAATAGACCCAGATATTTATTTTCAAAGTAAGACGCATGGATTTTTTTCATTTCATTGTTTTGGAATTGATATAAGTGACTCATGTAATTTTTGGCTACATTTTCTGCGCTCCCATTTGGCTCTGCATTTTGCGTAACGGGACGATCCACTTCGCACTTCATTTTCTTGTAGAGATGTTATATGTGTGTGTGTGGTATACATACAGTACAGTTACGCGTGGGGCACTCACCCTTTTTCTATCTTCAAGTTTGCACTCCCTGAGAAAAGGAGAGGGAACAATTTTTACGTTGCTTGGGTTACACTGTATGGAGGAGTAACAACCCCGGTTCACGCTTCTCCCGTTGTGGTTTGGCCCTCCTGTTTGTGTGACTCCTTGTCACATACACCAGCGTAGTAGTGACCTCCTCTCCTTAGTCAATGGGGGGGGGGGACATGAAAGTAATTTACTCAGTTAATCGGTACACTGGGGGCAGTTTTTGTTTTTTTTTTACTGATTCTCCTTTGTTGTATGTGCCATTCGGTGTTTGCAAAAAGGGAGGTGTGACTCTGCTTTGATGTTCCCTTTTGCAATGAAAGTTGGTAAATGCTTTCGCACTGTTTTCGATGCGTTTGCTGAGGTGCCGGTGGGGGTAAACGATGGGGCATAATTCCACAAAAATGTAGCCAACTTCAACACGTGTATACGCAGTTACGAAAAAAAAAAAAAAAAAAAAAAAGGGGCATCCTATAAATGTACATATGTAACTTTCGTTATGCCAAATTGATGCACAATGATGATGCCTTAACGAGGAAAAATGGGAGTAAAATTAAAATAAAAAAAAGGTTTTACAAAATGGTTCCTTTTTACGGTGTGTACGACTCCGCAGGTTATGTTCCTTCGTTCGACAGAGAGACATGCATGTGTGCGAGTATGCATAATTTTTTTTTTTTACCTACGTGCGGGTATCAAGTCGAATACATGCAAGAGGCAAGTAGGTCTGAGGAGTCGCTCCACGTTGTGCAGGACGGCGGCCCTACTTTGGTATGTATTTACTTTTATACGTGTTTTGGTCGACGGAGTTCACGTCGATGCCACTTATATCGATGCTGTTCACATCGATTCCGCTGACGTTGATGCTGGCCGCGTTGATGCGTGGCGCATCCATGCTGTGCAGGTTCTCATTGTTATGCGCGCCGTACTTCTTTAACTTGCTGTAGGTGACACTACTGTTGGTGCACTTGCCCATTTTGCTGTCATAGCCACCCTGGTCTTGCTCATACGGGTTAATTCCGTAGGGGGTATTCTGACTGCTCAGGTGATGTGCGGCGAACCTGTTTTCGCTTAGCATGTGTTCATTGTTTAGGTATGTTTGAGGGTAATTGTTCCTTCGGTGTGCCACTGGGCTGTGCACGTCTGCATAGTGTACGCTGTGTTCGTTTCCGCTTCGGTTGTAGTTCGCCTGGTCGCCTCCATGAGTTGTACCTCTTGATTGGTGGACATATCGTTGGCGGGGATGCGCCTGGGGAGGGTTCGCCTCATAATTGGTTGAATACCCCGCAGCGTAGGTAGCCTGTTCGTGCGAGAGGGGGGCGTGGTCTGAGGGGTGATCATACGCCACGGCGGCATGGTCTACTGAGTGAACATACTCCTGGTTGTAAGCCAGTCGGTTGGGGCTAGACGAGGGGCTTCCATTCGGGGGGATCCCACTTGCTGGACCGCCGACTCGCCCACTGAAATGTCTTCCCTGCTGGGTGTAGTTACCCCGTTCGAACGAATTGCCCTGTGAAACAACACCTTCATCTTCTTCTCCTCCTCCGGTGCGATATTCAGCGGAAGTGGCAGTGAACCCTGCTTCCTCTTCCTCGTTGGTCTCACCAGCCACGTGAGCGTTGCTAATTTTGTACTTGTTGGTGTAATAAAAATTGTAGTCCAACTTGATTAAAAAGTTGTGTGCATAGTCATCGATGTTGTTGCTAACATAATCAGTAAGGTGGAGAAAAAAATTTTTGAAGTGCTTGTCGTAGTGCTTAATGGTGTTGTGAATCATGGAGATGTATGCCTGGTCGCTAAGAAGTTCTTGAATAAATTTTCTGTGGTAATTATTTTTTTTCTTTTTCTTTTTTTGGGTTCCACTTGGGTGTCCATTATGACCTTCATTAGGGTTCACCCCGCTGCGATCGCCTTTGCCATTTTCGCGAGACGACACACGTTCCAGCTGCTCATTTTTGTTAAAATTGAATTTCAAAATATGTCTAGTGAAAATGTGCGATATCGATATTAATTTCAAAATGGAGTTAATAATATTTTGGTTCATTATAAATGAATACCTGAGGATGTTGTTGAGGTAGGCATTGTGGATGTGTATAATGTCGTCAAAAATGAGAGTTCCTTTTAGTTTGGTATTCATTTGAGCATATTCTGACTTGATCACATCGTTCTGTAGGTGATACGTGTAGCACTTTAAGAAGTGGGTCATGCACTCCCTGGTATGTATGCACATCATCAAATTATTTCTGCATTCCTCATTTATAAATATATTTTTTACGAACATGTGGTTCAGCCACACTTCGGTCAGTTTATGCTCAATATATTTGCAATAATTTAAAATACGAAATATTAATGTGTACTTAAAAATGGTTACGTTGTTGAAAATCAAATTATACGGAAACATGTTGTGACAGGACAGGATCAAGCCTTTGTATATTTCTACGTTTGTGTTAGTTTGCATATTATTGTGTATGTTATTGAGTACATTGTTTTTCAGATTGGCTAGTATTTTTTTTTTTTTTCCCAGGAGATGCTGCTGTTCAAGATTGGGCCCATTTTGAGTCCTTTTTCCCAAAGTAGCATAATTTTTTTTTTTTTTTTTTTGCATCTTTTTTTTGGTTTTCTTTTTTGTCTTGCTATTGTTCTGTTCTTTCATGGTGAGGGATGTTCCTCCTTGCTGTGGGTCCTCATCCGAGGAGCTCTCTGTGTCACTGTCCAAGTCCGTGTCGTCCTCTGATTGCGCGGGGTCCCCTCCTGTAGGGGAATTTCCATCCTTCAGGTGTCCCTTTTGGTAGTATACTCCACTTTGATTTTCCCCCTGTTGCCACTCAAGCAACGCCGTTCCACCGTTCGCTTGGTCATTGTCTAGGGAATCCTCCTGGTGCTCTCCCCCAACATGGACTTGGCTCATATTCAGGTAGAAGTTCCTCAAGTCGATAATAAGATTGACATTATCGATGATACTTAGAATGTCCGACACGTCTACGTTGTAGTCATGCCGATACTTCAGATGGTAGAGTACAGATGACCTCAAAGATATGTCGAAGAAATTTTTTAGCTTGTTCAACACGTTGCTGTTCTTTTTGCTATTGTAAAGCTTTTCCAGATGCTCATGTGCTAGGATGTAAAAATATTTTAAATAGTCACTAATTTGTAGGAAGAAAAAAAAATAATGATGTTTTATTTTTTCCTTTATGTCTATTTTTTTTATGTACAGTTCGAACATTTTTTTGGAAGCAAATAGGTGTTGATTGTGTATGAGGTGTTCATACGTCTTGTTGTTTCCATCGTATATTAGGAGACACGTCTTTTTGTTACGGAGCGGGTTGGCGTGGCTGTTATACAGTTCGTCCTCTTCTTCCTCTTCTCCCTGTTGTTCCTGTTCCCACGGGTTGTGTACCCCTCTTTGGTGTGTTTCAGCTTGGGGAGAGGCGCAGTCCATTGCGTGATTGTTCCTTTTAGATGCTGCGCACATGGATAGGGTGTCCGCTTCTGGTGCTCCCCACCCACGCATCGCACTATCATTGTGGAAATCCGTCCCGTCCATATATAGGCGATGTCTACGCCTACTCTGAAGAGTCAACAATTTGGAGCACGCGGAAAGGACATCGATGTACTTTCCCGTGATGAAAATGTGATAAGATACATTCTTCAAAAAAGTGGGAACCTTACGGTTCAGGATAACATACTTAGCTCCCCAATAGTTAGTAGACATGTCTATATATCTTTTGTAAATGTACTTAAATATATTGGTGCAGTAAAATTTGTTCGTCTGTTTATAATAAGGGGTGATGTTCCTATTTTCGTGGATGAAGAATTCTCTATGTGTGTCCTTCACCTTACCATAGAAAATGTAATTTTTTATAAAGTCAAACAAAGGGGTGGTAATATTTTTTAGAAGATACATGAGAACAGTTTTGTTGATGCTATCTGAGTGTAGGTATTCCTGTAACTTGTAAATCAAATCAATTAGGTACCTTGAATTGTTCATTTGTTTCTTGGTAATAATTTTGTTAATGATTTTGTTCAGCAGTTTTCCTATCTGCAGAAGTGGGAGGACAATGATTTTTATTTTGTACAAGGAAATATCTTCTGCCTTGTCAATGTTAATGTTGAAGAAGAGGTTAAAGTCGTGGACATTTTTACGAAACAAATTGTTGATGCTGAAGAAAATTTTTTTTTCCTCTGGATCTGTGCATGTCGATAAGGTATATGCGTCAAACAAACACATGGGTAGTTCGTTTAATCGGGTTTGTTGTGTTTCAGTCCCCGGGATTTTTTCCCAGTTTTTGTTTCCCCCTGGGGGGTAGTAGGCCCCCCCATTGCCGTCCTTCATATAAATTTTAGAAAAATTATATACGTTTCTAACATTTTCTTCAATTTTGTTAACGTGGTTTAGGATGTGCATGCTGATGTTGTACAGACAGCAGCAGAACATGTCAAAGGTGGAATTACAGGATTGTCCTCTTTTGTTAATTTCGACGAATCGCTGGATGCGCCTTAGGAAAATTCCGAGCTTTAATATTTCCTTGGTGATTTCCAAATGGCTGCTGTTGCTTTCTCGATCGCTCAGCACGAGCGGGTGAAACACCAGCTTGTACTTGGGCATCAGGTACACTAGGTCGTTGTTGAGCTCACCGAATAGTTGCTTCTCTTCAGTGGTCAGGTTGGCTTTGGCTCTGACCTGCTCTGAAGACGCGGTGGAAGCGTCGGACGAGGCGGACGCGGAGGACTCCTCCTCACCATCCTCGTCATCATCATTTGTGGCATCTCCATTGCTATCATCCTGATCGCTGTCCGACGAGAAGGAATACACGGAGCTGGAGTCGCCTTTCGCGTCCCGCCCCAATTCTGGGTCCCTCCTGCTCTTCTCCAATACGTCACACACGTAGGAGTAGTACGTCTGGTGGTCATACTTGTAATATTCCTTAATGTAAATCAGGTTCCCATAGCTGTTGTTCAGGACATACAAAATGTCGATGATGAGGAGGCATTCCTTAATGTACAGACTATAACTGAGGTAGTTTTCCGCAATGTTTTTTGTTATATAGTTATTGAAATATATATAGTCTTCGTGGCAAGTTCCTTGTTGAATATTGTGCGAGTCGGTTCCTCTTATTTGTTCACCTCGACCACTGGACTTTATTAAAAAAATTTGAGTCTCCTTGGTTAGGTTATAATTATAGATGAGCATATAGGAGCTGTTGTCATTAATTTTATTGTAACTTGTCAGGCATACATTGTGGAAGGCAAAGGTGATATTGATGTCTGTGGCGGTTCCGAAGAGATGGCTAAGGCTCATTTTTTTTATGAGCACAAGGTTGTAGTACTTAGATTCGTAATTCTCCATAGAGTTGCTAAAGAGGGGTTCCGTTTTGTCCGGATTAGTTTCCCCCCCGGTGTGGGTACTACCCTTGTGGACACTAGCCATGGAGGGGCGTTCTACTGGGACCTTTTGGACACCCAAAATTTCTTTTGTCTTATTATTAATAAGTAGGAAATAATCGTTTATGTACACCTTGGTGTAGCAGTTCAGCACTCTGCTGCGAATATTGACAACGTCGTAGAGAACGTCGTTTATATCTACCAAGTCATTTTTGGCCAAGCGGCTCAGGTATTCATTTACCAATATGCTTTTCTTAATGATTATCCAAGAGTTATATGTGTCCAAATTGAGGAACATGGTTTTTTTAAATTTCATTTTCCTAAATATAACATCCTTAGAGTTGATATACCTTTCGTTTTGGATGTACAGATTTTTTTCCTTCTCTATGTGATCATTCGACACACTCAAAAAGTGCAGGTTAGAATTGATGTGTGTAAAAATGTGTTCGTAGTTGTTGTCTGAATCGTCATCATCTGAGTAAATGAAATTTTTTTTATTTCTTAATTTTCCTGCCTTACTTGTTAATGCCGCTAGGCCCTCTTGGGCCGCTTTTTCTTTTTTTTTTTTTTTTTTACTATCATATGTTTCACCGAAATTCATGTTGTTTGTTTCGAATATTGTGCTATTGTACATCGGGTTGGTGTCGAATGGCTGGGTCGGTATTGAACCCATTAGACTGCCATAGTTGTCTCCTTTCCCATCATGTAAGGCGTTTTTTTTTTTTTTTTTTTTTTTCCTTTTTTTTTTTCCTCTTTTTTTTCCTCTTCTGCACATTAACATGTTCATACTTTTTATTGTTATATATAATGTATATAATGTCGTTGTGGCATATGCTAGAGTTTCCAGAATTGATGTTTTCGCTGTTTATAATTAGGAAGACGCTTCTGTTTTGTTCGTACCGGTAGGGATAGGTAAACTCGAGCGATGTTTCTTTGCTCGAATTCTTCGCTTTCTTTTCTTCCCCAAGTCTGATGTTTTCATTTCCATATATTTTGTCATATTTGGAAGTTTCCCTGTTGGAGCTTTTCTTGATGTTCACGTAACACTTGGAGTAGCTGTTGAAGAGGCATAAGCAGTTGCGGAACTTGGCCTTCGCGATGTGGATGCGGTTGTTGTTTTCGCTCTCAACCTTTCTCCGTATGTCGTTCAGCTCCATGTTAAGGTGTGTAGGGGGGGGAGGGGGAGCGTACGGGCTTGGGTCGTCTCGTCCTATTCCTTTAAACCGCGCGTGCGTTCGGAGGAACCCTCCTTTGGCACTAATACATTACTGCGTTTTGGATGCTTTACGCAAATTTTTCACGTGTGACCGATTTGTCGATCTGAAGGGGTGGAAGATCCGGGAACCCCTCTGTGCGAGGGGAATGAAGCGAACAAATA